CACTTCTTCCTGCACCTCAATTTCCTCACCTGTAAAAATGTATAGTGAACATTTACTCACTGCGTTTCAAGAATTAAGCAAGGTTAGACAACTGAAAGTACTCTATATACTGTAAAATGTTATACAAATGTAAGTTTTATTATTTGGTACTCAGTGAATTTAATGAGTAGGAACTCAAACATTTGTTGAGACAACATTTTAATGCTGTATGCTCTCAAGACACATGCTCTCTCAAAGGAATAAGCCCCTCATGCAAACCAATGTTTAGCACTGCACCATGGACATGGCTGGTGGCCAATATATTTTTCTCAAATCAAGAAATATTAAATAAGAGGAAGTGTATCAGCTTGTCTCTACTGTAATTGCTGGAAGGGATCAATAAATCAGCTTGAAGAGAGTAAAAGGAAATACAACTAATGGTGGACTATTCTACCTGTTCATTTGATTCATGGTTGAGCACCTTTCAGATGACAGGTATTAAGAATTTTAATTTCAAAAAGTGAAATTTATTTATTAAGGGGATGGGTTACATACATTTAATTTTAAAGGAATTAAATAGAAAAAGTTTAATTCCCAACATACTATAAAATATTACTTAACTTTCATATCTGAAATACTTCATTCTTCAGGACTCTGGAGTTCCAAAGATTCTTTTAATTTAAGGATTTAAAAATTTGTCTAAGACAAAACACCACAGAAAACAATCTTCATCATGCAAACCTGTTCATCTAAATTCCTATTAACATCCCTTCAAATTGTGTGAAAGAGCTAACTAACCTTTAGCTGAATTGGACAACTAAAGGGGCCACTCAGACATTCAGCTTCTTTGCAATTTCCTAGATAATCAGTTTATTAGAAGAGATCCAAGTACATAAAATGGCATATCTTTACAGCAGTTTCTCAGTCCAGAATGAATACAACAAAGATGTAAAGAGGTGCACATAAAGACACAATACACACAGGTGGCTTCTGCAAAGCTGCGTTTCTCTCTTAGAACTACCCTAGAAATTGAAGCTATATATATATTCCTAGATCTGCATTTTGGAGAAGAATAAAAAGCAAACAATAAGAGTCACTGGAAGAGTCACTTGAGTAACATGAATTTCTTCGTGGTTTCTTTGTTGACACTGATCTACCGAGAATGCTTTCTTCCCTGTTTGTTTCCATGATTTGATTCAAATGCCTCACTGCCCACCCCAAAGCTTTCCCTGGTTCCACTGACCAAAAGCAACTCCCCTTCGCACTGCTTGCCTGACCTCTAAGCTGTCAGCACCTCTTATCTGTAACTCTTAGGGCTCCTATCATACTCTACTTGATGCTGGGGCTATTTATTTGTGCATCTGTCGAGAGTCTTTCTCTACCAGGTGAGTGCCCACAGGGAAGGGGCTATGTCTCATTCATCCATATACAACAGTAAACCATAACATCTCCACTCTTAAAATGAACTGTGGGATAGAATCAGGGTGTATTAGATAAAGGGTGGATGATGCTATGTTCCACCAGATTTTAACTTAGAAAATCACATTTAGAAGACTGGCTTCTAGGGCCTCACTCCCCAGAGTGGGTCTGCAGGCCAGCAGCATCAGCACTGCCTTGGAACTTCAGCATTTCAGGCCTCACTCCAGGACTACTGAACCAGAATCTGAATTTCAACCAAAACCCCATTACAGATGAAACTTAAAATCTGAGAAGCAATCATCAAATCAAAGGAAGTATTTCTCAAACCATACACTAACACACACATTAGTAGGCAGTGATTTCAATTTAGTGGTTTGCCATGAGCATTTTTAAAATAAAATAGAACAGAAAATGACAGTATGTGTTGCATATTGCTCACAGTAAACAGTTTTGCGAATTGTTTTTTTAATTTCATATCTAACACACACATTAGTAGGCAGTGATTTCAATTTAGTGGTTTGCCATGAGCATTTTTAAAATAAAATAGAACAGAAAATGCCAGTATGTGTTGCATATTGCTCACAGTAAACAGTTTTGCGAATTGTTTTTTTAATTTCATATGAGCATATACGTATGTGTTTGTCAACTATGTCACAAAGTTAAATGTGTTTCTTCCTGTTGGTTATGGTCTAAATACTTTGAAATCCACGTGTCCAAGAAAGATCTCAGAAGAATTTAAACCATTCCCGTCGTGAGGAGCTGGCCTCCACAAACACTCTCATTCCTCCATCAGCGCATGTTCTGAAAACAGAAGGGAAAGCTGGCTTCCCCAGCACAAAACCCCAAACCCACTTCTTGGTAGTTATAAAGCTGAACTAACCAGGTTTAAATATGCTTAAATGTCTAGGAAGCAATATACTAAAACAAGGACACAGAAGCAGATTTATTACCAAAGAGAACTGTTAGCTCATTCATTATCACAAAGCTGTGCTTGGTGGTAGAAAACAGGGGTGAAGCCAAGTTGCTTACTTAAAAAAACAGTAATGTATCACTATAATCATAGAGCCAGTGAGCGGAAAAAGTTTCAGGAATTTAAATGGTACTTCTCTGAATTCACAAACCCAATTTTAATTCTTTTGATTACTGGAAAATTTACTTTGGAAAGAAATCCATTGGTTTCATTGTAACAAATTTGATCTTAGTTGCTTAAATTTGTGATCTTGTTTCTTTGTTTATGGAATGGCCATCTGCTTTTTATGTAAAACTTTTATGCTATGGTAGAACTACATTACCAGACCTCCACCTGTACCAAGAAGTCCAGAAGCACCAAACATTTTATGATTGAAGACCTCCACCTCCAGAAGCACCAAACATTTTATGATTGAAGGTATAAGACTTTTTCTGTTCTTTTTGATAGGAGAAGTCCAGAAGCACCAAACATTTTATGATTGAAGGTATAAGACTTTTTCTGTTCTTTTTGATAGGGCTCTGTAGATAGATGAGCAAGACCTATTTGCTGGTTTCTTCAGAGTATCACATAAAGAGAAATGTGCTTACTTTGCTGGTGTTACTTAATGTACTAGACATGGAGCTGTCCAGATCCATGCTGGCAGAATGTTCCTGCAGGCCCCTGGCTTTATGACCCTACACAAAGAAAAGGCAGTCAAGTTAGGACCCTCGAGGCTTTTGCAAAGGCATCCGTTAGAAGTAGCCTGGTCTATTTAAATAAACTCGGGAAAAAAATGCATCTACCGAAAAATGCTGCTAAGCATATATGTACACTAAGACAATCAATATTTATTTGTCTTTTTTCAAAAAATAAGACACCAAGCTAAATGTTCCAAAACACCTTGTGGATTAGCCATTTGGCAGGGATCACAGGCTGTAAGGAGAGACAATTTGTCTATGAAGAAAAGCGCATGCTCAGGCAAGCCCACTCAACAGCTCTCTCCCCTGAGGCCCAAGTCCTCCTAATTGGCCAGCTGTATACACTCGAACTGGGAACTCTCAAAGGCAGTCCCTCCCAACCTGGTTTTATAAATGGACTAGTTTTAATTATCTCAGAGGATGTTGCAAAATTCTGAGAAACATCTTCAAACCAATAAAATTTAATTTTATTCAGCTAAAAAAAAATAAAGTATATGTTCCAAAAGGAGTATGTCATAAAATCAAAAAGAACCATAGTAAGATATTGCAAGCTCCAGAAAGGTGTGAAACTTTGACAGAAAATCGAACTTTAACTTCTTGGAAGTGCCATCAAAGCTATTTACGCTCATGGAGGGGTGGAGGATGGATAATTTCTTCAAGAACTCCCAGACTGGTGCACATGTGTACTTTGTTCTTCCTATAGAGCTGTAGTAGGCAAACTTTTTCTGTTAAGGGCCAGATAGTAAATANTATTTCAATAAAGCTTTACTTGCAGAAACAGGAGGTAGGTGGGATTTGGCCCATGGGCCGTAGTTTGCTGACCCCTGCTATAGAGAGTTCCAGGCACCTAACACAGCAGCTGACAGTAACTGGTTTTTTAAGTTGTCCTTCACAACAGTAGGGTGAACAGAACCCACACCTCAGTGTATCTAATCCGTGCTCTTTATAAGAACTGGCCAATGAATAACATTCTTTTGGGAGGCAAAAAATCCCATGGGAAGCAATACAAAGAGTAGAGAATATTTTTTTAAATCTAGACCAAGTTAAAAACAATTTAAAATGTAGATAGCACTATTCCAAGATTGAGAAGATATAAAAAAATGTTTTATACTTTTATACTTTATGATGAACACTGATGGAAAAAAAGCATACAACTGAACCTTGTGCTCTCTTAAAGAGTGATTTAATTTAAATCAGGAGAAATTATGCTACTTACCCGGGACAAAATACTTTCTAAAGACTCTGTTAAAGATCTCTTTGCTTTGTTTTTCAGCATATCTAGCCTAAATCGAGTGGCACTGGGTGGTAATTCACTTCCAATATTCTCTGCTACAATCTGCGATGTCTAAAAAAGTGAAACAATAAAAAGTTAAGTCACTTACTTCTTCCTTCCTTCATTTTTTTTTTTCCTTTTTGTCTTTTTTTTCATGTCCGGCAACGGATTGCAACCCTCAGTGTCGCACCCGGACCGGGACAGGCAACGGGATCGCAACCCTCGGTGTTGCGCCCACACCTCGCTCAGCCAGTGAGCGGGAACCGGTCTGTATGTGGGATCTGAACCCTTGGCGGGAGCCAAGCAGCACACTGTAGCAGTGTGCCACCGGGCCGGCCCCTTCCTTCCTTCCTTTAGAGAATGAAAAATCTCTAGAATGCATTTTTCTGACACCAGGACATCATTCTGATTCTGTCTGTATTCTCAGCTCATCTGTGCCCCTTAGAGATGTGGATGAAAGTCCAGAAAATAATTTTGCCTCAAAGAGTTGCTATGACCTTCCCAAACAAAATGAGAAAATATGCTTTGAAAAAAATCAGTTAAAGTAGCTTAGAGCTCAAGCTCTGCAACTAGATTGGAAATACATCATTTACTAACTGTGGCCTTGTACAAATTTCTTACTTTCTCTGAGCCTCAATTTCCCCTTTTGTAAACTGAAGATTTAACCATAACACTGCATTGTGAGATTAAAACATGTAAAGTATGCAAAACATTGAGTACAGTGTCTGATATAAAGGTAGCTATTATTAGCTTTTCAAAATAAAGCAGTAACTTACCGTTTGGGTCATTTCAGAGGATGAAAAAATAAATTCGTCAACTGAAGAATCCATTCTCTCTGCCTATACTAATCCCTTCACATACCTTTCTACAGATTTCTGAGTTCCCTATTTTTTCTTCTCTCCAGTTCTTTCATTCTCTTCTGCAACTAAGCTTCTCTCCCATAACTGACAGTAATATGAAGCTGAAAACATAATGGAGTTTGTTTGTCAAACACTAAATGAAGTTTAATGTTCCTTAACAAGGAGTACGTTTTGGGAGGGGGGAGAACACACACACGAACGAACACACACACACACCCCTCTAAATTTGGGGGGGGGTAGAACACACACTCTCTCTCTCTCACACACACACACACACACACACACACACACACACACACACCTCTAAATTAAATGGCTTCTTACGTGGATTCACACCTGATTGCTCCCTGCTAAACAATGATTTTGTTAGAAAAATACGCAAACAAATCCCCCATTACTCTAAATGCCGCCATATCTTTGCTGTAAAAGTATTACAAGCATACAGAAAAGCGTGGAGACCAGCAGAACAAACACTGGTACCACCTCCCACCTTTGTCCACATTAGCGTTTGCCAGGCATTGAGAACAATGAGGAACAAGGGCTCTGAGCTCAATGCCCAGATAAAATGCTTCTCTGATGTTCCCTGGCTATGTGGCCTTCACCAGGTCATTCATTACCTGCCCTCCCTCTCTGTTTCTCCCCCTGCAGACTGAGGGATGCCTAATGAATTTCCTCACAGAGCCATTATGAGATTTAAATGAATTAATACACATCAAAACACGTAGAACATACCAGACTCTCAATAAATGTCAGCTATCATGACTGCTTCTATGCTGTGTGCTTCCTACTTTTAATAGGAAATATTACAGACATCCTTGAAGTCTCCTGAACACCACTCCCCTATCCCCCTGCCATATGCAGAAATAACCACTCTCTTGAATTTGGTATTTGTCACATCAATTCATATTTTGTATTTTTATATGTAGGTATGCATCTATAAAACATAAATATTGGTTTACATGTGTGTGAAACTTTAAATGGATATCATACTTTGTACACATCCTTCTGTAATCAGTTTTCTTTCAATGTCATTTTTGAGACTTATCCATGTTGATCAATGCTCTTTGATTCATTCACTTTAACTAGAGTGCAGTATTTCACTGTATAAACCAATTTATTCATGCTCCTATTGTTAAACATTTATTCCATTTTTTGGCTCTTATAAAGGAGGCTGCAGTGGTGTCTCTTGTACCAAGTTCCTTATGCACACGTGTGAAAGGTTTTGCAAGGTAATACCAGGAATGTCCTTGAAGAGTCACTGGGACTGTGAATCTTCAGCTATAACAGATATTATCAAGCTTCTCTCTCCCCTAAATGACACCAATTCACATTCCCAGTACCAGCATATGAGAGTTCACCTTTACAGGGTACTATCAGATGTTTTAAAATTTTCAGCCAATCTGATGGGTAAAGAATGTTCTCTTAATATGCCTTCCCCTGATACCTACTGCTATTACACATTTTTATTTTATTCAGTATCTGTTCTAAGACCCTATATCATCGACTTTAGAATAATGAAATATCCTAATTCACCAATTAATATTATATATTTTTCAAGGCATAAGAGAGAAAGAAAAGGTTCTGGTAAGAACTACAATCGGCTTTGTCCAATTATCCACAATTTTACTAGTATGAATATTAGAACATGCATTAGAAGAATAATGACTAGCTTAGAAATTCCTTCAAGAAGAGACATTTCATTTACCTTTGTGTTTTCACAGTTCTGAGCATACTCTGGACACGGAATAATTGCTTGCTCAAGAATGAGTGAATGAGAATGATCACCTGGCAGGCCATGGGAAACACAGGCCCAAGATAATGGAGACTCATCGACAAATATTGACTAAGTATGGGCTAAACATTATGCACCATGGGAAGCTGCCTTCCTAGTTGCAATTGGTCCTGTGCAATCATTTGCCAAGAATGAGAGCCTGTCCAGACTGGGGGTGGCCTCTGGGGTAAAGAGAAATATCTACAAGGGCCCTCAGGGGCCTGCCTTCAACTCAACACCTGTTTACTCACAAAGTTAAGAAGCTATAGAACTTTCAAATTCATAATAAAGTTTTCATAAAATAGAAGCAAATTAAACTGATTGTTTTGATATATAAAGAAAATATTGGCTAAAAGACTAAAGAAAGCAGCATTAGTTAGTACATCCTACATAGACAGAATAAAAACGGAACTGGTATTTTTAAACCAGGCCTAAGGAATCTCTGTAGGCTTCATTCAATGTCTCTACTGCTCTCCTCCACCATCTAAAAACATTCTTTCCTACGCCTGTTGCCATAACGCAAATATGGTTTGAAAATGATGTGCATTTAGAAAATAAAATATTCTTTATTTATTTTAAAGTAAGCATCTAGAAGTTTCTCCTTTGAAGATGATGCTGGTTATTAGCATAGTCATCTACCGCAGTCATCTTATTGCCCATCCCTCGACAGAGGGGTAAACTCTAAGCATGAAAGTTTGGAGACAAGTTTTAAATTCTGATGCTACACTGAACTTCTCAGTTCAGAACCCACCATCCACAGTTTGCACAATGTATCTATTAGCAGCCTTATTTATAATAAAGTAGCTCAGATGTCAAACCAAAAAGAGAATGGAGAAACAAACAGTTATATGTGTTGATAACACCAAGGTCCAGGGGTTCATCCCTGTTACTGGCCAGCTGCCAAAAATTGCACAATGTATCTATTAGCAGCCTTATTTATAATAAAGTAGCTCAGATGTCAAACCAAAAGGAGAATGGAGAAACAAACAGTTATATGTGTTGATAACACCAAGGTCCAGGGGTTCATCCCTGTTACTGGCCAGCTGCCAAAAATTTTTTTAAAAATGAAGATATAAACACAATGGAATAAAAAGGAACAAACAACTAATACATGCAACGACATGGGTGATTCTCAGAAATGTTATGCTAACTGGAAGATGCCAGAACTAAAAGAGTACATACCACATGATTCCGTTTATAAGATGTTCCACAACAAGCAAAACTAATCATCCAGGGTTTAAAAAAAAAAAAATCAAAACAGTAGTTGCCTGGGGGAGGAGACAGTGAGGACTGTCTGGAAAAAGAATATGAGGGTACTTTCTAGTGTGGTGGAAATATTCTGTATCTTGATGGGGGTTGGGCTACCTGAATTTAACAATCTTCAAAACTCAACAAATAACACACTTAAGATTTACACTTACTATTATGTAAATTTTATCCCCCCAAATTGTAAACAAATACTGAATTCTAGCTAATGATATACATGCTTAAGTGTTTAGGGATAAAGAGTACTGATATCAGAAACTTACTCTGAAAAGCATCAAAAAGTGAGGACTAATAGACGGATAGATATATGATAAAGCAAATATAACAAAATGTTAAAAACTATAACATATGGGTATATGAGTGCTCACTATAGAATTCTTTCAGCTTTTCTGTATGTTTGAAATTTTTTATAAAGTCAGGGAAAAAAGAAGAAGTATTTATCTACTGAAAAAATGGATCCAGACTAATCAATAAGTAGTTATATAACACTGAATTTTGTTAAGCTCATAAAGAAATGTAATGATTTAGGTAATGTACCTGGACCTCAGACAAATTGGTTCAGACACTCAACTAGCAAACTGCTTGACCTCTATACCCCATTTTCTCATCTTTATATTGGGTGTTTTACCACCTACCTCAAACACTGCTGTAGAATGAACAGACTAATTCACGTAAGGAATTAAAACAATACCAGGTACATGGCAAACATTCAACAAATGGCAGTTGATTTAATATTATTAATTTCTGTACCACCTCTGTGAATACAAGTAGAAATGGTATGTCCACTGACTAAAACCTGACATCCTCTAACTTAATTTACAAGTCTTTGCCCAAACTGAATCCTTTTCCATAATGTCAAAGTATTCATTCAGTTTTTTTTTTCCCTCATTTGAAAAGCACGTGTGGTGTCACTGCTGACTCTGAGATGCACAGCACTGAGACAAGTGCTCACTGTTCTCTGTCCCCTTTTGAAGGCCAATAGCGAGAGAAGTTCTTGGTCAAAGTCATGGTTCTACCTCTGTCTAGGTCATATCATAATACATTTTCAAAGGCTACAGGAAAGTTTAGGTGCCACAAAAAGGTAAAGAAATCCGTGTGATTAAACTATCTGATAGCAAAAAACATCAGCAGAAATCAATTGGTAAATCTCAAAGCTATATCTGATTGATCTATAAAGCAACTGCTCCTCTAAAAACCCCAGTCCTCAGAGCCCATGAGGGTGTCCAGATTGGGGACACCAACCAATCTGGGGATAAGGGCAACTTGGACACCAACCAATCTGGGGATAAGGGCAACTTCTTCATAGACACAGACATGAGCCCTCTGGGTCATAGAAGGTTTGAAAACCCTAATGAAAGTGTTGAGCAGATGCCAGTTCTGCTCGTGAGACTCAGTCTCTTTTACATTAAATTCTCTGATGTTTTTAAAATGGAAAAAAAAATCCCACTAAATATACTCCTTCATTGGACTGATCTATGCCCAAATCATAAAAATATCACCCTGGTCCATAAAAATGAGTTTGCACTTAGGTCAAAACTTTCCATCCACCATAAATGCTCAAAATGTTTAGTGAAAGAAGACTTTCCATCTACCATAAATGCTTCATCTTCCTGTCTAGCAGTTATAAATTATTTCAAAATGATCAATTTCCTGTTGGAACAAGTCTGACAGATTCAGAACAGGGAAAAAGCTATTAGGGGCATAAGAAAGAGAGAAAAAAAAAAGGAGTGGAAAAAAGAAATAGATTGAAAAGTGAACTACAGAATTGACTGTACAATTGGACTGGGTGGCCCATCCAAAAGTGAACAGGATGGGTACAGACCCCAATGCTATCTTAAGGGTACAGGCTGGGAAGAATGGCTACAAACCAAGGCCAAAAGCTAAAAACACTGACAACATACTGGGACTAGTGTTCCTGCTAAGGGACCCTATAGTTAGCCAAAGAGATTAAAAAAAAAAAAAAAAAAAAAAACACAATATCAGACAGTGTACATGAGTTCTAAGAGTTCAGGAAAGAAACATGACTGCCAATCAAGTAGAAGGTAAAAATCTAATGAGGAGAGTTGCTAAGACTGACCTAGTTTAGATTACCAGACAGCAGAGGTTGTTTGTGAGGAAGAGATCAAAGGAGTGAACACACCACTGAGTATTACTGTGCCTTGGAATAAGCATTTGGTAAGTGTTTAAAAAGAAAGAGGCAACATGCTTTTGGAAAACTAAGGAACATAAACATCCTCGCTGATTTTTCTCTAGATTTTCTTGCCAATGAGTAATTATAGCAAGTATAAAATGTATATATTTTGAAGCCATTAATGGTTTATTATGAATTGACTTACATGGAGTCCAAAAGAGACAGGAAAATGGTCTGTGGTACCATGTACATCTACTCCAAAATTTGGAGATCTCTGAAGGCAAGGATCCACAGGTAGCCCTAGATTCCGACACAGCACCCCATAAACAGACAAGCTAGATAAAGCTTGCAGACAGTACAGGATGGGAGGCAGACTCTGTACCTCCATCACTCAAAATGGAATTAATGGAAGTTCTGTATCAGAGCAGCACATGAACCAGGCTTTGTAACGTTGTACCTGATTTTGTGTGACACTATCTTACATTCACATAACATTTATACCACAAAGAACTTTCAGGTACCTTACATAGTTCCAAAGACGACCATACAATGTCACTCCCATTTTAGAAGAGAGAAAGGTGAGGTGATAGAGACTGGCCCCTTGCAGGTCACACAGCTTGAACTGGCAGTGACCACACTGAATTCTTGGTGTTATAAGACAGTCCTCTTACCAAGCAACTGTTCCACCCCCATTACCATGCAGACAGAAGCTTCTCTTGTCTTCTCAAAGCATAATCTAACACTCCCAAATTTTCCCTATATGAGCAACGAATGAAAATAAAACACAGGGAGAATAAAAGGTTCCAGGGCTTCTGAAAATCCCCAAGACTTTGTTTCCACAGCATCCTGGTACAAAGCGTAAGAAGAGATAACGCTTCACCTTACCTGCTTCATCTCACCAATATGAATGTGTTCTTTTTGTTTCTCTTCATATAAACATCTCAAAAAAGAAATGATCAACTCATTCTCTCGCTGTTCATTTCTTGGTCTCAATTTCTTTAAAAAAAAAAAAACAGAAACGGAATATATTACATCTATTTTTAATTGTCAACAAAATTGCTAAACCATCCCTTTGAAAATGCTAACAGGTCCGTCCATCTACTAACTAGTTCTTTCATCCAAAAAATTGCACTAGGGGGCACCAAATATCCTAAAACTGGAGATAATTTTTAAAAGGGAACAGACAATGGAGCTAGTGGGCCAGATTTAGCTTTTGGTCTCTGATGTTCTTATACCCAAAATAAATTTTTAACATCAGATAGAGGCATAGTCAAAATATTTAGTAGTTTTTAAAACCAAAGGAAAAGACAAAATTTATGTAAACACTGAGGTCAAGAACCATAATGACCACACATTTATAAACTCTTATGCTTACGGAACTGGAAAATAGCAACTGCATTCAAGGTCATGTTTTTCATGTCAAATGTGTTCATCATGAAGCACTTTGTGGAAGCCCCATAAAACAGGCACTTCCATATAAAATTTCATGATATACTAATTTCTTTCTTCTTTCTTTATATTCTCTAGTTTCAGGGCAGTGGCAAAGCACACTGGGCCAGAAATCAGGACACGTAGGTTCTAATTGCTGCCTAAAACTACAACCAAAGCCAAATCACTTAATCTTAGTTTCCTCATCTGTTAAAATGAGGATTATACACAAAATAAACTCCATGGTCTCTCTTCCAAGCTCCCAAATTCTTTGCATTTGAAATATCAGAGTCCACTTTTTTAATGCCATCTAATCTAACATATTATTTTCTCCAAACATGAAGAAAACAAAAGGAATTACTCTGTAGATACACAAAGCTTCTAGTCTATAAATTTTGGAAATACAGCTTTTTTCTTTTTTACATTGACAATTGTGTTATCCTTTTCCTCCTCTTTCCCTACTCCAAATTTCTACCCAGACTTTTAAAACAAAGTTGGGGTGTAGTATATGAGTCAACTACACAAGCATGTGAGTCTGGTCAATGCCACCCCTGGCGACCTTCCCCAGTTAACTAAGGAAGAGTGACTTTACCCTTCATGTCACAGTCATTAAAAGCAAAGGTAAGAGATTTGGAATCAAGATGATGGAATAGATGGTCCCCAGCATCATTCTCCCACAATCAACCAATTTACAACTATTATAAAGCAACAACTGCCAAACTGGGGCCACTAGAGCTCATGGGAAGTGTTTGGAGTACAGGCGGCAAGGGAGACCAGCCACCAGGGGACACTGGGGCACAGCATGGACAGCTGATCTGCCCTCCAATCAGTGCAGGCCCACTCAGTGGCAACTGGTCAGGAATATAGAACTGCAGGGGGTGTAGTTTGCTGAAAAGACTCAGACACACACAAGAGTTTCCACACAACCGAGGTGTACTAGAACTCACAAGACCTGGAAGTACATACA